AGCTGCTCTCCGTGATGGAGGAGTGGCCACGGCACAGCACGTCCACCTCCGACGGGGACGAAACGGATGTCTTTGCCCTGGCTGTGAGTTTCTGGAACTGGACTTTACTTGCCCACCGGTCACTTCTCCAGCAGCTCTCTGTCCTCCCCGAGCAGAACACTGCATCTCCCTGCCTCAGGCGCTGGGCTGGAAACCTGGCTTAGGGGCGGGTTCAGGGGCACCAGGCTGGGGGTTGCCCCTGTGTCTTCCCTGGCCTCTCCCTCCCACACCTGGGCTCTTCCACATGGACATCTGGGCACTGAGAGCTGTGTCCGGGTGCTTTATCTTTTGCAGGCAACCAGGGCGATTTGGGAGATTCTCCAGATGCTCCAGTGCCCAGAGCCATTGAAAAAGTATACCCCCTGTCTCCTCGTGGCTCTGCTCTTCCAGACTTCCATCAGCCCAGAGCAGATGCCAGGGGAAGTTGACACCTTGTGGAAGGAATGTCAGAAGCAATACAGCCTTCCAACAGACTCCAAGAGGTGCTCTGTCCCAGTCCTCCTCACCCTCTCATGCCCTCGGGGCTGCTCAGGGCTCCCAGCATGACCCGGGCTTTGCTCTGCACCCAGGTTTGCAGTGCTGACCATGAAGACTCTGCTTTGTCATCTCGAGTGTGAAGATGTCGTGCTTTCAATGGAACAGAAGCGCGGCTGGGACACACTCCTCAGCGCTGACACCCACCACTACGCAGTGGGTCTGCTGGCCAGGTGAGACCCCCTTGTCCCTGCTGCCCCTGTCCTTTCTGCCTGTGCACGGGGCACCCCACACAGTGCCCGTGGTCGTGGGCCAGAGGGCCTCGTCACCCAGGGATGGCCGAGCAGAGCGGCAAAGGCTGGGAGAGGCGGGTGCACAGGAGGAGCCGCCTCCAAGAGTGCCCTCATCCCCTCCCAACCTGGTGGGGAAAGACCAGGACTCTGTGAGACCATCCCGGGAGAGGTTGGCCCACCCGGCTCAGGGTTGATGGTGCCTTTTTCCCCCGGGCAGGGAGATGCGCCGTGCCTCGAGCCCCTTCTATTACCCGATTGCCCTCTGCCTGCTGAGGCTGCTCACCAGGCAGAAGCCCTGCTGGGAGCTTCCTGCCATGGCATTCCTTATGGAGGTGAGCCTGATGGCGAGCGCTGCCTTGCTGACCTGCCTCCACCTCTCTGCCCTTTCACCCCCACAGCTGCCCGGGACGGTGCCGCGCCCTGCGCTGCTGCCTGGGCCCAGCCCGGTGCGGGTCTGGGCTCCTGCCGGCCGGGCACCCCGTCACTGCTCCCTGCCTTTCAGGTCCTGGACTGCCCAGACATGACTAAATGGAGTGAGATCGTCCTGGAGATCCTTTCCAGGCGCCTGTGGAGCCAGTGCACAGAGATGCATCGCCTGGTGCTGAGAGGCCTCGTGCTGCTGAGCAAGGATCCTGGGATGGTGAGGA